AATGGCGTGAACCCGGGAGGCGGAGCTTGCAGTGAGCCGAGATCGCGCCACTGCACTCCAGCCTGGGTGACAGAGCGAGACTCCGTCTCAAAAAAATAAATAAATAAAAATAAAAATAAAGAAACCCCATCTCTACTACAAATACAAAAAATTAGCCAGGTGTGGTGGTGGGCACCTTTAATCCCAGCTACTCAGGAGGCTGAGCAAGGATAATCGCTTGAACCGGGGAGGAGGAGGCTGCAGTGAGCTGAGATTGGGCCACTGCACTCCAGCCTAGGCGACACAGCCAGACTCCATCTCAAAATGAAACAAAAACAAAAAAAAGGTAAGAAGATAAGCAAGGTATTTTCAGATAAGTGTGAATGCTAAGAAGAAAGGGGTGGGTGAAGGAATAGAAAGTGACTGGGGTTGGGGGGTCCTACTTTAGTTGAAGATCAAGGAGGTCTTTCGGCAGAAGTAACATTTTCGCTAAGACCTAGTTGACAAGAAGGAGACAGCCTTGGGGAAATCAGAGAGTTAAGCCATCCAGGCAGAGGGCCCGAGAAGGGCCAATGACCTGAATGAGATGCCAGACAATATCATTTGAGCATCTGGATCCAACTATGTCAGAAGCTGAAAATTTTCTATAACCTGAACTAATTGTTTTATTGTGGTTATTAAATGAGTTTAAATTGGGTTTCTGAGCTGGGCACGGTGGCATGCGCCTGTAATCCAAGCTACTCAGGAGCTTGGGAGGATTGCTTGAGGCCAGGAGTTCAAGGCCAGGCTGGGCTACAGAGCAAGACCCCATCTTTTTGAAACTTTCTGCAACTCGCATCTGGAAAAGTGCTGTTATTTGAAAGGGTGCTGACATCGTGAAAAACATGGAGTACCGATTTCTGAAGCTGAGATTTCTGTCCTAAAGGTACAGGGAAATTATTGAAGGTTTTTAAACCAGGGAAGAATCTTCCTGATCTTTGTTCTTTTTCTCTCTCTAGGCTCAGCTCTCAAATGTCCTGACTTTCCCTCCGCTTCCTTCAGTCTCTGCATTTCTTCCCTAATGAACTCGCCTGCTGTCAGCTCCCTTCAGAGGACCTCCAGTCCTTAGCACATGCTGTTCCTCTTTGAGACACTTTTCCCTACCTTCCTTCTCCCAACTAACTTAGCCTAGGCATCAATTTAGATATCACTTCCTTCACCAACCCCCCAAGCCTGAGTCCATTTACAAATGCCCCAGACATCTTTTGTGTACCATGTTTATATCACAGCACTTGTCACCCCAAATTGTAAATTTCACATTGCTCTTTGCTACCCTCTAGACCAGGAAGAAACATGTAAAGTCTGGCTGTTGCTTGAAACCCCAGCATGTGGTGCCTTTTTGTAGGCACATGATACCCAAGCCACACGCATTAGATAAGGGAGGGAGGGAAAGACCTGATACGTGAAAGGTACCCAATGGTAACTGTTAAATGGATGAATAAACTGATGAATGGGCACGGGAATGTGGAAGTAATTTAGCTCTTGTGAGAGACTAAATGAAGGTGTTGACTCCAGGGTTACTCACTAAGGGAAGTGCTGGTAGCTTTTCAGGCAGCCCTGGAGGGGACACAGAACATGGGAGGTCCAGGGTTCTATGGGCCTGGGCGAGGCTGACTGGGGACTCCTGGCTTCAATTGCTATGCCAGGAGACTGGTGGCCTGGCCACTGCTCTCCCATCAAGGGGAGCCCGGGTGGCTTCATCTGCAGGCTGGGTCCCAGGTCTGGGTCTGGGAAGGCTGTCCCTGAGTCAGTTACTCAAGAGGGGAGGTAGGGACCCTAAAGTGGGATTACAACCTTGGAACAGCAATTGAACTGCAAGTGTCTGATACAGCGACTTCCTATTAGAAAACACCCTAAAAAATGGAGGAAGCATTTGGTGAGATAAACCATGAAACACCTGAAACCATTCAAGACGTCAATAAAGGCTGCAGACGAATTTAGGAAGCACTTCCAGAAAATCTTGTTTCACGGAAAATGACTTGCTGATTTACAGTAGCAAAATGTGGATATGTGTGTATAAGGACGTGAGAACACGAGGAAATGCGGACTTGTTGACTTGGAAAGAATGTTTTAAGTTTTCTGCATAATGACAAACAGTTCTAACTGATTGTTGGCAATGTACAACATCCACAGAATACTCAAGATGTGTCCCCTGGCTGGGTGCAGCAGCTCGTGCCTGTAATCCCAGCACTTTGGGAGGCTGAGGCAGAAGGATCACTTGAGGCCAGGAGCGTTCAAGATCAGTCTATTGTGAGTACTGCCGCTATAAAGGTAAGTGTGCAAATATCTCTTTGAGTCTGCTTCCAATGATTTTGGGTCTATACCCAGAAGTAGATTCACTCACTTTTGACTTTGCAGTCTCTGAACTTTGGAGGAGATATTTGAGAACTTCTAAATTTCAAATGAAAATAATGATTTAGACCAGCCTGGACAGCATAGCAAGACCCCATCGCTACAAAAAATTTAAAAAATTAACCAGGCATACTAGTGAGCCTGTATGTAGTCCCAGCTAGTCAAGAGGCTGAAAGAGGCTGAAGCAGGAGGATCTCTTGAGCCAGGGAGGTCGAGCCTGCAGTGAACTACGATTTCAACACTGCACTCCAGTCTGGGCTACAAAGCCAACTCCTATCTCTAAGAAAATAATAATAATAGGCCGGGTGCGGTGGCTCAAGCCTGTAATCCCAGCACTTTGGGAGGCCGAGACGGGCGGATCACGAGGTCAGGAGATGGAGACCATCCTGGC